CCTCAGTGGTTGCCAAGTCCAAAACTGAGAGATATGTTTATTTCTGCCCCCATGCCATCTTCTAGGTGTTAGGACTTCTAGTCCTTTTTAGCTCCCTGGCCTACATTTGAATTAGTCAAACAGCACAATTATGAGAAATTATACATATATATATTTCCTAACAGAAGCATACTTATCTGCTTAATTAGCTCTCCGGTCATACTGGAATATGAGTGATAAAATACGCACTTATTATTTTGCAGGCTCTACTCCCTGTATTTTCAGCTGTTTTTCCTTGTTTTGATTCCTATCTCTCCATGGGTACAACGTGCTGCCACTGTTGCTCTTATATATCTGGTCTATAAACTGTCCTCAGAGTTGACAGTGGTACTTGTCAGCATGACACTATTTAGCTATATATTGCTAAATTCCGATACCTCCAGAACTCTGAAGTTTGAACTTATCAGATGAAAAGGATGGGAAAAGAGGCGATGTTTGAAGGAGAAATGAGATATTGGCTGAAAGAGGATGATTATTACCTGGTTCAAAATAGTTACCTTCCATAGGAGGAGGGTGGCTCTTAATTTTAACATAATCTGAGGAGACAAATGCAGAATGTGTCCTAATTTAGAACTTTCTGCTATCACTTTTATAGTTCTCATTCCATGGAAAAAGAGTCTAGAATACGTGCAATTAAAAGTATTCATCAAAGCATGCTAATTGATGTGGCACGGTGGACAGTCAAGTGAAATTTAGGACAGAGTCTTGTGTTCTCTTCATTCTGCAATGTCACTGCCATTTCAAGGGACAATTGACACTTGAATATGAGTCTGAACTGCACAAGTCCACTTGCAAACTGATTCTTTTCAATAAATATTTGTAATACTACTACATGATTCAGGGTTGGTTTCATGTTCAGACCTGGAACTGAGGATACAGATGGCTGACTAAGGGATTTCAGCATCTGAGGATTTTACTATCCGTGGTGGGTCCTGACACCAATCCTCCATGCACACTGAGGGAACACTATATTTCACAAATGAATGTATTAGTCACTTAGTCATGTTCAGCTCTTTGTGACCCCATGGACTAGAGCCCAGCAGGCTCCTCTGTCTATGGGATTTCCCAGGCAAGAATACTGGAGTGGGTTGCCCTTTCCTTTTACAGGAGATCTTCCTGACCCCGGGATCAAACCAAAGTCTCCTGCATTGCAAGAGGATTCTTTACCATCCAAGCCACCAAGGAAGCCCCATTTCACAAATAGTCTTGTACAAATTAATTTTCAAGAGGGCTAAGATATTTAAGGTTAGAGTTGTCTGATTGTGAATCTACTTATGTTACAATTTTTCTTTATCTTAATCATCCAGAGTGCTTCAGAACCAAGACTAAACATCTTATCTGTGAATCTTCTAACTCACAGAAGTAGAATAAATATCTCTACCTCTTTGTTCATAAAATGGTTTGTTCATAAACCTTTTACTACATTGATCATGTGGGAAATTAATCACTGGTTTATATCAGTTTCTCCCCATTAGAATGTCAATCTGAAATTAGGAATTAGGTCCTATTTATCATTTTATTTTTAGAGTATAAAACATTCTCAAGATTTATATTAATTAATAAATGAAGTCATCAGTAAATAAATGGTCATATGAATATGAAAGTATACACATATTCTGCAACTGAACACAGCCCATATTTTTCATCATGTCATTTCCAAACAACATCAGCTTTCATCCCAGTACCTTTCTTCTCCTCGGCATTCCAGGGATGGAGGCCATTCACACTTGGATATTAATGCCCTTCTGCCTTATTTATTTAAGTGCTCTCCTTGGAAATTTCTCCATTCTATTTATTATCAGAACAGACTCCAATCTGCATGAGCCCAAGTACTTCTTCCTCTGTATGCTCTCTGTGGCTGACTTGATCCTTACTGCTATGTCCAAAATCCTCAGCATTTTTTGGTTCCCTGACAGGGAGATCTACTTTGAAGCCTGTCTTGTCCAAGTATTTCTCATTCACCAGCCTTTGATAGATCTGTGGCAATCTGCAATCCTCTGAGACATTCCATTATCCTGACATACAGAGTCATCCAGAACTTTGGGCTGGCTACTGTCTTCTGTGGAGTTGTGCTGTTCAGTCCTCAACCCTTTATGCTTCAGTGGCTTCCCTACTGCAGAACTAATGTCATCCCTCACACCTACTGTGAATTTATAGCTCTGATCAAGCTGGCTTGTGCAGACACCAGGATCTGCAGAATAGACAGCCTAACTGCTGCCTTCCTCACTGGAGGTTTAGATTTCATATTAATCCTCTGTTCCTATGTTGTCATCCTTTACACTGCCTTCCATCTTCCATCTGAGGTTGTTCAGTTCAAGACCCCATGCACTTGTGGATCCCATGTGTGTGTGATCCTGGTGGCCTATACTCCAGCCTTTTTATCCTTCCTTACTCACAGGTTTGGGCACCACATGGTTTCTCATATTCACATCTTTGTGGCTAACATCTATGTCCTCATCCCGCACATGGTGAACCCAATAATCTATGGCATAAGAACCAAGAGGATCAGAGAACTATCTCTCCAACTTTTGACTTCTCACAAATTCTAAAATGATTAGTTTTTATGGAATAAGTTTCTAAGACTTATTTTAAAAAAAGATATTAACCTTCTTTCTAGAAGCCTGGATCCCTACATATTCTATTTGCAATATAAAGCATTAGTTAGTATTGATTTAATGTCATTCTTCTCAGGAAACTTGCTTAGAAGATGACTGACTTAGGTGTTTATTTTTTTGTTTGTTTTTTGTTTTCTTTTTTTTCCATTTATTTTTACTAGTTGGAGGCTAATTACTTTACAATATTATAGTGGTTTTTGTCATACATTGACATGAATCAGCCATGGATTTACATGTAATCCCCATCCCGATCCCCCCTCCCACCTCCCTCTACACCCGATCCCTCTGGGTCTTCCCAGTGCACCAGGCCCGAGCACTTGTCTCATGAATATTCTTAATAAAGAATTCATTCAAACATTATCCCTTTTTGCTTAAAGCATGTCAATCTAAAATAGCTCACACACTGAGAACTGGAGTACCCTGTCAACCCATTTTCCTCTCTTAAAGATGTCTTTATTAGCCTAATGCTTCCCACTTATCTCTACAGCCATCTGTGAAAGCTGAATAGCTTGAAATGCCCTGTGCTACTTATAAGTCTTAGCCTGTGCTGACTCCTGTATGACTGAAGTACAGTAAGTAACAAAGATGAAAGTCAAGTGTTTCCATAATGATATAGTGGACTTTTTGTTTTCTGTTTTTTTTCATTTATTTTTATTAGTTGGAGGCTAATTACTTTACAATATTGTAGTGGTTTTTGTCATACATTGACATGAATCAGCCATGGATTTACATGTATTCCCCATCCCGATCCCCCCTCCCACCTCCCTCTCCACCCGATCCCTCTGGGTCTTCCCAGTGCACCAGGCCCGAGCACTTGTCTCATGCATCCAACCTGGGCTGGTGATCTGTTTCACCCTGGATAATATACATGTTTCGATGCTGTTCTCTCGAAACATCCCACCCTCGCCTTCTCCCAGAGTCCAAAAGTCTGTTCTGTACATCTGTGTCTCTTTTTCACATAGGGTTATCATTACCATCTTTCTAAATTCCATATATATGTGTTAGTATACTGTATTGGTCTTTATCTTTCTGGCTTACTTCACTCTGTTTAACATGTCTGCTTGATAATTCAATTTCTCCACTTTTCCGTGATCTTTCTCATTATGTTTGCTTCCACAATATTATTCTGTTGTTCAGTATTATGAACTTCAAGAGACACTAGTATTGATTCATTATTCTGACTTTCACTAAGCTTAATTAATGGAATTGTCTATTTCTCATAGACAAGAAAACTGAAAATATTTTAAATCTAAAACCTCAGAAACTGGGATAGTTCTAGCTAAATATCTTCTGAGAAAACAGATAAAGAAACTATTCCCTCCAGATTACTTCCTGGAATTTTGTGTGGCATATTACTATTTCCTCAATCCACCTAGAATTCTTATAAGTTTTCTAAATAATATCTAGTCCCACAAAAACTTCTTCAGAAGACTTAATGAATCCAATACTGTCCTACCATTTTCCCTTTTATTTCCTCAATTGGTTCAAACTGATTCATTTGATTCACTGAAAATATATATAGTTCTGTCTACCATTCTTTCGTGTTCTTGCATACTCTATTTAACTCACAATATGTATTATAAAACAGAAACATTGTATTCTGACATTTCTTTATAAGTCATCTTTCTAGTTACTCTTGACTGTGATATTGTTCATTTCTCTTCCTTTCTGAAGTTTAGTAACAGACTAAACTTTTGTATGGAATATCATGTACTTATCATAGGTATATAACTCATTTGGGGCATGCCAAGTCATTATAGGTACCTAATACAATACAGTGCTTTTCTTTAAAATATACACTATTCCTGATAATGACCTAAGCAGTTTTGTCATGAGGCCATAGTAGCATATATTACCAAATTCTTCAGTAACCTGAGTACCTCTCTCAATTAGTAGTTCTTCAGAATCATGTTACTTATTGTCTTTAATTTTTGTTTTCTTCTTTCTGAGCAAGTGGGTTATCAGATATCAGTTCTACATGAGCCCTTTCTGTTGACTGCCCTATGATTTCATATCTCCTTCCTCAATAGTAAAGTGTTAATTCTGTGCTCATATTTCTGGTTGTATAAACTTATTTTATTGTAATCCATTTCATATTATGTTGGTTAGTACAAATATTACCTGAATATTCTAAATTCTAAGAGAAGCAAAAATTTGCTGTTTAAGACAACTGGCTCTCAAGTGATACTGCTCAATTTTGAATCCAAAAACAACTACTTTCTAACTCTGTTGATTCTCATCAAGTTATATTATCTGTCTTTCTCAGTTTTGAATGGTAAAATGGAGATATCGACAGCAGTTACTTCAGAAAGTAATCCTGACATTTAAGAATATGCCTATGAGACAAGAGCTCAGGGCTGGTGCACTGGGAAGACCCAGAGGGATTGGGATGGGGAGGGAGGTGGGAGTGGGGATAGGGATGGGAACACATGTAAATCCATGGCTGATTCATGTCAATGTATGACAAAAACCACTACAATATTGTAAAGTAATTAGCCTCCAACTAATAAAAATAAATGGAAAAAAAAGAATATGCCTACATGTGATTTATTTCTATTGAAGTTAATTTATCAAGAGCTTGATAAGTTAAAGCCTAGAATTAAGAAACATTATCCAGCAAGAGTGCTTACTTTGGAATCCAGTGTGGTAAACTGGAAATAATTGGACAATTTGGGGTCTATTTTCACTAATTCTGATGATGTACAATAAAAACTTGCCAGCAAATAGAAAAGAGGAAAATTCAAGAAATAGGAAGAGTCCAGTTAGAAAAGCTGATGAGTTCTTAGAATCATTATCATAGTTATGTTTATACTGAGTTCAGACTAGTCTTAAGAAGAAACAAATGCTTTTGGCTCATGGATCAACCCTCAGAGGCAAAGCTTTTTATGTGTGAGAATTATAATTAATATTAAAAAAATCTTTGATTATTTCTAGAGGGATGCCAACACACATCCTGGAGTAGTCAGGAACCTAGGCTACCAATCACACCGTGGTTCAGCCAGCTGCCTAATTAAAGAAGATTGAATGAGTGAATGTACACTAAAATTCTACTACAGCTCAGATATGACCTCATGTGTTGAGGATACAGTAACATACAAGACTGATATGAAACATACAGATTCCTTATAGTATATAATGTATATGTAGAGAGGAAGGGACATTTGGGAAGCTGTATGAACTATTTAATACACACAGTGAGCAAATAATTTTGTATTGTGAAAATGTGATATAAAAATATGAGGCACTCTGAGGGAACAGAAGTTAAGGCTATTCTAGATGGAGTGATCACATTGTCTCTGAGAAGTGATCTGAAATATAATGAAAACATTTTCTGAAAATTTAGGGGAAAAAATTCACACAAAGGGAAAGAGTAAGCAATACAAATAAACATAATCTAATCAACACGCTGGACAACTTGAAATTACAGAACATCATATGTCAATTATAATTAAATAAAAATAATTGAGAGTGAGAGGATAAGGCAATTTGATTTGACTTTCTAAATAGTTCCTGTGGACTCAGTGTATACATGCGTTACCAGAATAATTTAAGGTTAAGGTAAATAAGTCAGTAATGCAAGCTAAATTGTAATCTTCAGGAAAAAAATAGAAACAGAATTACAAATTAGGGGTGGCCTTCTGTGTCTTGCAAAACATCATGAAATTTTTCTAACCTCTTGAATTGGAAACTTTTCTCACATCTCTCTGCATAAGGAATTGATCACTTATTCAATTCATAAAAGTGGTGACCCTGTGTCTTTGTTCATATTTCTTTACACATCCAACCTTCAGTAACTTTTGGTTAACACTGAAGAGTCTACTCACATGTCAGCTACCCTGAGATTACCTTTCTAGCAGCTCTGATTCATCACTGACACCCCTTCTCAGTGTCCTTATGGTATGTGCACTTACCTGCCTTCTATCTCTTGTCATACTGTATTTTACATTTCTGCATATTTTTCTCCTGTATTATATTCCACATTGTTACTTGACAGAGACAATATCTTTTCTGATTTTTGCTGTTTTTTCAACTAATGAATAAAGAAAAAAAGAAACAGAATGTAAGGGAATGCTACTACTTTTTGTTAGTAATTTCAATAAAGGATAACCAGTAAGTTGTTACAAATTTATGACACCAGACACTATCCCCAAACTTTGTTCATTAACCATTTCCTAATTTTGATATTAACTCTTTCACACATACCAAGGGATCAGTTTTCAGAAAAATTGAATTCTGTCAATATTTTGTTTCTTATTTGATAATAGGATGGAGAGGAAGAGGAAATAGTGTTAAACTCACACTTGCTGATGGAAGAATTAAATATATGGCCTATAATGTCTTCTGGCTAAATCCTACTTCCTCTATCATTCTTTACAATAAACAAGGAAACAATCAAACATGAATTGAGTATCTACTAGGACTATGTAAGTTGCATTGCAGGTGTTAACCCCATTAAGTCCTTAAGGAAACTGTGACATGTCTCATCATGTCTGACTCTTTGTGATACAAGGAATTGTATCCCATGTGATACATGGGATACTTTGTGATACATGACTGTACCCCATGAGGCTCTTCTGTCCATGGAATTTCCAGGCAAGAATACTGGAGTGGGTTGCCATTTCCTTCTCCAGGGGATCTTCCTGTCTCAGGGATAGAACATGGCTCCTGCACTGAAGGCAGATTCTTTATCATCTGAGCCACCAGATGGTTTTCTTATCATGACACAAATAAGAAAACAAGCTAAGAATGTTCATTTGCCAAAACCTACCCTAAATGAATTCATGGACTATAACTTGAAACCAAGCATAATCACAAAATTTTGAATCTTTGTATTAGCCATTAGAATATACACTCTACTGGGTTTTGTAAATGTAAACTGACACAATGCAGTTAAGATGGCTTTGAACATCATGGACCATTGATCACATATCATC